CATCACATTCCTCCTTTGCTTGAAAGAAAGTTGTGTTCCTGGAGATGTTTAATTCCCTATATTATGCTTAACGAAGTACAGTTCGCTGCTGATGAAGGGCGTGTCAGACGGAATGGGCTTGGCGCCGCGCCAAACCCGTTTTCCATCAGTTGTTGAGGAGAGCAAGCCACAGTGCTATATCATATTGCTCGTTTCCGTCGTTTATCATCAATTGCCGCCGTTTACAGTCCTCAACAACTGGTAGAGAACGGTCTTGGTACCGCGATGGAGGCAACCACCCCCTCCCCCCCCCCATTCGCAACAAACAAGGCTGTAATTCCCGATTATTGTCATTCGATTCCAGAAAAGCTGTTTTCAGATCTCGTCTGCCGTACGCACACCTCAGCATAAAGACTCCGGATGAAAAGAAAATGAAATACACGGATCCAAGCTGGTATTTACCACGTGGTGTTGTGCAGCGAAACGCTGCTTTAGCATGGATCAGGTAAACATCAGAAAACGACCTTTTTTGGCATTGAGGTCACAAATTTGCTTTTTTATCTGTTACATTCCATTGTTTTTAAGAACACAGCTGTCCTATGCTAAGAATGGAGCTGTTTATTTCGGCGACGACGACAACACGTACGACTTGCGATTGTTTGATGAGATCAGATCGATAGATGTGGCTGGAATTTGGCCTGTAGGCATAGTGGGTGGTCTCGTGGTAGAAAGACCACTGCTGGCCGATAATGGTTTGTAGCAGACTTCTCTCTTTTGTGTGCGTAATGTGGCGCTGAAGTAGTGGGGAAGAGGGCGACCACCTAAATGCGCCTCTGTGACCCTTCCCCTAATCAGGACTGAGAAATAATGAAAATCGTCTTTGTTCTGCAAAATTAGTCCCCTGCTCCTGGTCTTCTGCGCTCTGAGCCCAAGCCTTTTTTGGGAAAAGATACAGAGGCGCGATGGAGTGATTTCCCACTTCCCCCACCCTCACCCCTCAACTGCGTTGGCGCCCGTGGTTTTCATTCTTATGAATTGTTTGTAGGAACTGTCGTTGGTTTCAACGCCGTTTGGAAGCCTGATCGGCAGTTCCCTATTGATATGGCAGCGTTTGCTGTGAACATTACTTTGGTCACTTCTCATCCTAACGCTGGGTTCTCTTATGACGTGCCCAGAGGATATCAAGTGAGTTAGAAGTGTGCTGTTCAGAAATGAGCTATTTGTGAAAAGAATCATCATGTTATTCCTCCTACTCTTCCTCCTAAAGCTAGAGGGGGTGTGACTGCGTATTTCATTTGAACATGGCGTGTAGAATGCTTTTCGCATGGGATGACTTCCGTTTGGGACAACTGAAATCCTGTCCTATGTTGAACAAAGACCTGATTGCAAATGTGCTAAAGAGCAAGAGGTCTTACCGGAAGAACAGACGCAGCTACGATCTAATGAAATGCGCAGTCACACCCCCTCTATCTTTCGCCTCCTCACTCTTCTCCTTCCTTTTCGATTCCGGCTTATTTATAAAGTACTTGAATCCACAAACTCGTTTTTGTGAAATAAGTAGGTCACAAAATTAATGCCATGTTAATGCTTTGCGAATGTGGAGAATCCGCGATTGTCGAGAATTGTTGACAAAAATTTAATGGTAATCGAGTGACGCTGGTTTTTCCTAGTTGAGGATTTTCCACAAAGTATGAGCACAACCTAATTATGAGGAAGACTCGTTTGACAATCCTAATTACTCATTAGACTAACTCAGAGTGCTATACCTTCTCATAAGTTGAACTTTTATTTTCGTTGAATCGTTCTGTTCCCACTAATTCGTATTTTTCAGGAATCGCATTTTCTCACTGGGCTAGGATTGTCACGAAGTGATCTCGAGCCTAAGGCGGCGCTATGCTCCAAAGTCTATGTGTGGCACACAAGAACCGAGAAAGGGAAATTCTCGAAAGAAGATTGGAAACGGATAGCGACGAAGGATAGAGGATTATTTGATGACATCGAAGCCCACGCTCTTGGGCTCTGACTCCAATCTCCGGTCGGAGATCGGCATTGAGTAGAATCGACGCTTGCTTGTAGAGCGTGTAGCTACAGATTGTAGTTAGGTCCGGAAGAACTTTAAAATGTCGCCTGTAATTGACGAACGGGTTCAGCCGAACTAGCTAGGGCTGAGAGTCGCATCGCCAATTTCGGTACGGGTCCAGATCACAAATGTCATATAGGCTTTCTATCTGATTGAGCAGCAGTAGCACAGAGAAGCAGGGTGACCTTCTCGACCATTCTATGTTCTCCTACAATCACTCTGCGTAGTTTCTTCGGGCCAATTGACTCACTTAGCATAGACTCACTTAGCACTGAGCATAATATCTCAGTGTTTTTCCGGTGCTTAGCGCAGAATTCTAGAAATTTTATGTTTACGGGTAGTCTGTTTGTGATGAAAAGGGCGTAGAAACGCTGCGGGCACGCTGGCTGGAGGCGGACGGTTGTTACCAGTGTTATTGGTGGAAGTTCTGAATGGGGGTGTGGATAAACGCCCTCTCGCAGCCCGTCCAGATGACACTGGCCATAACCGCCCGCCTCCAGCAAGCAGATCCACGCCTTTGATACAGTAAAAAGGCTTCATTAGGGTTTTCATGCCAGTTTTCAACTGAGCTTTGATTTTCTAATCGCTTCTGCTTTTTATAAGAATCTCTGGTTCAATAGAGCTAGTCCTTCGAAAAGTTTGTCACTTTGTCACTCCCAATTTCTAGGCTCATTGTGTTTTTCATTTTCTCAAAATTACAACGGTAATATACTAACGAGTTTTTGGTAAGGTGCTGAATAGGTGCAGTTCTGCATTATGCTAGCCATTTTAGTTTTACTTGTTGTCTTCTTGATTCTCTTTGGTGATGTTTGTATTCTTGTGGTATTAGTGTGTAGAGGCGGCGTCCATACTCCGCGACATCATCGATTCAGTCGCGTGGCTTTAGCGTGTCACGTGACGACCAGAACTTTCAGCAGAGGGCTTGATATGAAGGCCAGAGCTCAGAGAAATAGAGGACTGCGGCTGCCATGGCATTGATAGGTGCAAAAAGGTGTTGCGTGCCAAGAGACAAGTTTTTTGAGAGAAAGCGGATTTCGGGGCGGATAATCCACAAGTCATGAGTGAACAGTTGCAGCGTATAAGGTCCTAATGGTCTCAGAATGTTATGCAGACGTGAAAGTGCAGAGGAAGACAAAAGTTGATGTGCTTAAAGTGACTGAGTTCAAGTTAATGTGAACCCCTTCAGCGTGAGCTGACGAAGTGTTATTCTAGGTCTACAGACAACTGGAACTTTCCCTTCAAACGCGTCCGTTTTCAGTTATCCTCTCGTCTGCGTGACATTGTATGATCGCTGTCACCCTGAACATCCCACCTTCTCGCGCATGATGAGTGGCTCCACCTGGAAGACCCCTCTCTACGAAAAATCATCTCCGGGATCGCGACACCCTTCTATACCTTGGCAGCCGCAGGCCTCTATTTCTGTACCCTCTAACCTTTCGCGCCAGGACCCCACTAACAGTTGTGGTTGTCACGCAACCGTAATTGACTCGCTGGTGGCTGTCGCACAGTATGAAAACCGCATTGCATTGTGTTCCTGCCCGATGATCTTTCCGATATTGAACAGTACCGGCTAATATGCCAATAATATTCAAGTATGGGTGCAAAATGTGCATTTTATTCTGGTCTCATCCTAAACTATGAGAAGGTAGAGAGATGATTATTTTATGTAAGGTTTTGCTCTAATTTGCAGTGTTCATTCAACCATGTGGTCAAGTTGTACGATAATTTAGAAATAAATAGTTGTAAAAAGAATATATTTGTCATTTTATTTAGTCAGGGTAAAATCCCTTAAGTATTGAAAGGCTTTAGATAATAGAGATGTTGTTTGGTCCAGAAACGTATAATAATATGCGAAAAGGCATGGCTAAAGTGAGGTCACAACACTACCCTTGGGCTGAGCACATGTATGTTAGGGATCCCCAGCGAGGGGGGAGGGTAGCGCTTGGTTGCTGGAGGGAGGGGACCGTAACAGCTCTCACCCTCCTCGACGGTAGTTTTTTTTGAGGGAGAACTGGAGAATTTCTTCGGAAAAGTGTAAAGTTGTGGGAAATTTAGAAAAATTGGGTAAGATGAGGGACGGAGAGGGCTGTAGAAGAGGATGGAATTTAGGGGGGGTCGTATTTTGCAGACCTTTCTTACTGGCCGGATGTGCACTGCCTTCCGAACCAAATAAAAAAACAACATCTGCCCCGTTTCTTCATCGATAGTGTTTCGTCATCGCCCTCTTTCAAACTGGCCGTGTTGACGTAACCATGTATAGTTCATGTCACGGCGTCTAGAAAGGGCGTGTCTGCAGTCGTACAAGTGCTGCGGCGGCTGCGTATGGTTTGAGCAATCGTTGGCGCCAGAAGAGCGGTGCATCAACGTCCTCTTTTGACACCTGGGCTTGTGCGCACGCTGTCTACGTCCTCACTTGAGCAGCCTAGAGCCTGTGCTCATTGCGGTCACAGCTGGTTCCATAGACACGCCCTCTCTAGACGCTGTGTTACAGATTGCTCGTGGTAAAATGTTACGTGTTGAAACGTCGCGCTAGTGAAACTGTATCAT